TTTTTTTTTTTTTTTTTTTTTTTTCGCATTAACGACTTAGGTCACGTGGTTTTGTTTGTCAGACCAAAAAGGTGAGCTCACGATGTACAATGGCACAGGTACTAGTTAGAGATGAATGCTAAAAGTAGTATTGATTCTGGCTCCGAAGTATTTCTATAGACATTCACAGCTATTTAAGATGTTTACTGTTAAGTAGTGTAAAATCAACTTGTGGATGATAAGTGACCAGTAAAAAGGAAAACAATAGCAGCGCGCTTTATCAATGGATAATGTTCCTTTATTAGTGGGAAGCCACTAATCCAACATCTTTTAGAGCAATCGGTGCGAAGGATTTTTACAACGTACAGTGTTATGCACGAAACGGTTTCTATTTATGCCGTCTTTGTTTAACCACTACGCCACTACTTTTTGCTCTTCCCTTTCAGCCTATCTATTTCCCAGTCTCTTGTGGTCACAGAAAGTTAATATTTACTGGAAGATGTTCCAAATCTCTTGAAGAAATACTTTTGTGCGTTGACCAAAATATCCCGACAGAAGAGGAACTTCGTCACTTGAAAGAAGAAGCTCAATGTTATCTGAATGATATCAAGGTTCAGCTGGAAAAGGCAGCCGGAACGCAAATGAAGCTTATCTTTTCAGGAAGTACGGTTGAGAGATACGGAATCCCACGGATGCTGTTAGGTAATAGCTGCTGTGCTGGTTTCAGTCTTGGTTCTCTTCACACTGATATTGACGTCATGATTTGCCCCATGGCAGTAAGAGCGTGTTTTTCAGGTCAAGGGGACATACATTTGGCACCCCTTTTTATCGATGGCGTCAGGGTTATTGGATACACTAAGCTATATTGCCTTACTTCTATGAACAAAACGATTTGGATCAGCCCAAGGCTTGTCATAAATGAAGTCAAAGATGCTGTGAAAAGCACCCCTCTTCTCAATTTTCCTGAGAATCCATGGTATATTTTGGCGCCAAAAACACAAGTCGAATCCAAGGGGCCAGCGTTGAAGATTCGCGTGCTTGCTGGTTTTGAGTTGGACGTCACATTTTGTTTCTACTGCCCTGAGTGGCCAACCAATAGTGACTGGCCTTCTCGACCACGCTACTGGCCGTCTATGGCTGATGCGCAGAAGATTATGTCACTTGGCTGTCATGTAGTAGCAAAGTCGGCACCAAGGGACAAGGAGAACAAAAGCTGGAGATTCTCTTTCTCTGTGGCAGAATGTGAACTATCTAAGCTAGTACCAGATACAGCAAAGAAATGTTTCTTGGCATTGAAAATCATCCTAAAGGACCATCTCCAGCCCGTAGTTCCTGAAATCGGTTCATACCACATTAAAACTATTTTTCTTAACACTATGGAAAAATTACCAGTCGGTTTCTGGGCAGACGAAAACATTGATATATGCTTTCTAACATTACTGACAGAGCTTCATATTGCCCTTCGGACGATGAAATGCCCACATCATTGGTTTAGTTCCATCAATTTGTTTTCAATTAAGGCTGAGAAATTACAACTTCTTGCTAAGAAAGTGCAGAGAATTCTACAGGATCCATCTCCTTTTATCTTGGACGATGGCTGCTGCTGCGTTTCGTCATGTTGTGTACGTGTACCGGAGGAGCACTTTACCTCCCGGGACATCCAAGAAATCATTGCCGATTACGAAGAGAGTCCCATTTGTGTGCGCGCCAGTGACGATGGTATGTGTCGAGAAAATAATTTTGTGGACCTTTGGCATGATGTAAATTCGCCCGAGGTACACAAGGTCAGCGTAAAGGTAACTCCAAACAAAGAGCAAAATCCCTCCCAAAGGATGGAAGACCACGAAATTTTGGCAGATGATTTGGACCTGCTTATTCAGGACATGTAACTTATACTGTAAGACGTACGGTTGTAATCATGGCTTAACGTATGGTCAACTTTTGTGAAAAGAATCATTTTAGGTTCCTTAGAAACGGATTCACTTGTGATTATCAATACTACCCCAAGAGGGAAAGATTTTCTAATGAAGAGAAAAGGTTTTTTCCTAATAAACAGTTCTGAAAATTTGTCTACTTTATACTTGAGCTTACTAACCATGTCTACAGCTGGTCAAGTGTCTAAACTATTAGAGTAACGAGGGGAGAACAAGACCCCCTTAGAGGGGATTCATTGGGCTGCCGACAGTACGATGCAGTGGTGTAACATTTTGAGAAGTTTAGATTACAATTAAGCTTTTTTTCTGGGTTGAGTGTATAGCCACTCCTAACCGGTTAAATGGGATAGACACATATATACTTAGCCTTTTTTAAACAAGAGGCGATTGGCATTAGTTTAACTGGGACTTTAATTTCCCCGATGTCTATGCCTCCCAAAATAAAGCTTGACAGTATAGCAGCATAACGTGACTATTTTGATTAACCTTTAAGCTATCGGTCTCTTTAGGTCGTACTTCTTAGAAAGAACAAATAGTGTTAGAATTGGAACTGCGACTTCGAGCGAATGGAAAGCAATGTTTAGAGGCTGTCCCCAACGCTCAAATTTTGGACCACTCTTATGGAATGTTTTCCAGACCGACCTGGTCTACAACGCTGTACCTATCACAAGCAGCATCAAGATGCGCGCAGATGACCATCAAATTTATGTTAGTGGTGAAACGATGGGAGATGTGGAAACGGGACTTTAACGGACGAGGGAAGGGAAATCTCAAACTGGTACCAACTCAATTTGTTGAAAATAAATGTAATCGCGACTAATTTCAATCGACGAGTTTAAGGCAAAGGCACTTAAACGAAGTAATGAAAAACAAAGTCTATGACAAATACGTAGAAAGTGGTCCAGAAATGAAGCTATTGGGTGTCACCTTTAATGAGCATCTGAAGTTTAATAGCCATTTAGATGAACGAGATAGGATAATGATCG